GTGGGCGACGGCGGCTGCGGAAAGACATCGCTGCTGCTGGTCCACGCCGAGGGCGCCTTTCCCGCGGTGAGCGCCGGCTTTTATTGCCCTCCTCAGCCCATCAGGGCTCGCTCGGCCCCCTCCCCAGCTCTCGCCGCGCGGGAAGCCTCCAGTTCCAGAACCTCCGCGCGGGAAGCTTCCAGAAGGCCTGGAACCTTCCTTCAGCCGCTCCGGTGGAGGCTTCTGGAACCCCCCTCAGAGGGAGAAAATCCCTTCTGTTGGGAGCGGGGGCCGCTCAGATGGCCCTGAGGCGGGGCTCCCCACATGTGGAGCTCCCAGAATCCCCCACTACAGCGGGCATCCTCATCCTGGCACATCTGGAGGGCTCCAGCTTGGCAAAGGTGCCGTTTGTAGCCTCCCCCCAGCTGCGTCAGGAGATTCTTGGCCAGCTGCTGAAGGAAAATCATCTGGCGCATCCAGATGTGCAGGACCAACTCAGATTGCCTGTCCGTGCAGCAAGCCAAGCTTCCGTTAAGACTGGGTAGACTTTGAGCTTATTAATTAAGCCTGATTACTACTGAGATGGGACTCCGTGGATGTACCACGAAGTTGCAAAGAGTTGAAATCAACCAGGAGATGTGACTTAACCGGCAGTGTGGTGTAGACATTTGCAGTTATGCCTTCAGGAGACTAAGACAGCAAACCACGTGTACATCTTTGCCTCCCAATGTCTGCTGACTTAGAACTGAGAAAAGTGTTTAAAGGTTGCCTTGGAGCTACCAACAGCATATACAAACCTGGTTAGAAATTATTAAAATGGAGCAGAAGTCCTTTCATTGGTGTTTCATCTTAGGAAACATCTCAACCCCTATCTAGACCACATGGCGACAGGATGCATGAGTGACGGACTTCCCGTTACCGCTTCAGTTATTGCAGGTTTCAAAGTTGGGAGATTGCACATCTGGGCATTGCCTGTGTCCTCAGATGTCATAAAATCATCCTCCGCACTGCTCTAGGCTGAGGACGACTTGCCACCTCCATGAATCAATGCTTTTGCAAATCACTATGGCACGCTGCAAAATCTGGTTTTGATATACCCATCCCCAGTTACACATCCTGAGTCCCACTGAGTTCGGTAGGACTACTTCTGCATAGGTGCGAATGGGACTGCAGCCTAAGCACACCCAGGTCCACAGCTGAATCCTGTCCTGGCAGAAACCTGCCTTTATTTCCAGGACCAACCCTTGGACAATTGCAGCACTCCACACGCAATGTGGTGTTCTACTTGAAAGAGCTCGCGGACGGAGGGGCGGAAGTCAGACGGAATATCTGGAGGCCTGTGGTGTGACACATTCTAGGCTGCAGTTAAAGCTCAGAACAAGTGAAAGAAAAGCGTAAGGTTTGGCCATCGAGAAGATGTGCAGATCTTAGTGCAACACAATAGGTGCTTCATGCGTTTGGGTTTGTTTTTTTTTAGTATCTGTTGCTCTTCTCACTGCTTCTCCCTCCACAGGGAGGGAGCCAATCCATCCAGTCAATACTCATCTGCTATCTTTAAAAGGGCCCTGAAACAGTTTAACAACTTAAAAAAAAGCAAAAACAAAAACCCTACATCATCATCGGAAATGTGGTCACCATCACTTAAGCACTTGGAGATTTTGGTGGCTACTTTTGCAGAAGGGAAATATATAAAGTTGTAAAACGGTCTGGGAGGGGCTGCGAAACTTCACACTGTACGCTAATAACACTCTGTGTTCCACTTCCTGACAGCAATATGCCCCTTCGGTCTTTGAGAAATACACAACCAATGTCACTGTGGGGAAGAAAGAAATAATCTTACATTTGTATGATACTGCAGGTAAAGATAATCTTCTTGATTCTGGTTTTTTTAAAACATACTACCTCTATTAGTACTATTTCTAGATCTAGAATTTTAATGCTTGATACCTTTAGACAGTTTGACCATGGCACGAGCCATGTGGTTTGCAGCTTAAGAAGAAAATCAAAAGGTAACCAAGTTAGATGTTTCTCTAAAAGTTTAGGAAATCTACATAGTGCAAGTTAGGAACGTTATCAGAGCATATCTTGCTTGGCATATTGACAGCACTGTCCCTTTTGAGTCTCCCCCCCCCCCATTATTATAAAGAAAAAGTCAGAGACACACACACACTTACCTAAAAAAGTTCCTAAACCCACTTGGTATTTTCCCTGTTTTAGGACAAGAGGATTACGATCGCCTACGGCCGCTCTCATACCAAAACACCCACGTGGTTTTGATTTGCTATGATGTCATGAACCCAGTTAGCTTTGATAATGTATTAATTAAGGTAAGAGATCTTTAGAACTAAAAAGTGAAAGGATTGTGGTTTTATTCTCTATACTGCCCCCTTTGTGAAACAACTAACTAGAAGCCCTTTGCAGTTACCTAGTGCACACGTCATCTGGAGCCATCACCCAGTTGGTTAGTTTATGGCTTAGTGTGCTGTGTCATTGTAGCTTATAAACCATGTTTTATGATTTAACAAGCCATGGCTCTAGCAAACCACAGCTTAGTACACTATGTACCGTTTCCATTTGAAACGTTCTAGCAAAGTTCAAACACTTTGTTCTCCAACAGTGGGTCCATGAAGTGAACCACTTCTGTCATGGAATCCCTATCCTCTTGGTGGGTTGCAAAACAGATCTCCGGAAAGACAAAGAACATCTCAGAAAACTCCGCTCCGCTCAACAGGAACCGATCACTTACAAGCAGGTAAAGAGAGCAAGCAACCTACAGCACAAGCCAACATCTCTTTCTTCAGGTATAATCCACTGAATTCAGGTCACCTGTCCTTTTGAGCAACAGCGTGTAGAAGACCTGCTCAGTGTAGGACTCATCAGCCCATATACTAACCAAACTTCCCAGTCTATCTGCATTCCCTACAAAGGCCATTTCCCACCAGCAGAGTGACTTGATGGAAGGCTTAAGATGAAGACATGGATTTGCTGCCTGGCCCAGCATAGATTTCTAAGTATTTAATGATTGGGTATGCGCAGTGCGCCAGGCCACAAGGTGATTTGGCTTGGACTTAGGAGGGTAGGCAAGGCATCAGCAACCACGAGCCCATCTGGCCTGATGAGATCCAAGAGGGTGCATGCTATCTCTACGTGAACCTTTTGGTTCGCTCATATAATGCTCGGATTTTCAGGACGGGGTGCAACAGACAGCGCAGCAGCCACGTGCTCTTCCCCCCGTGACCCCTTCTCCTAGTCAGCAGCCTTCCCCACCATCCGCTCCTACAAAGCAGCATGAAAAATTCACTCAGACCACCAACCCCTCTCCAGTTTACCTTGTCGCTTGCTGCTGACTCCATCCTGTAAGGCTTCTGTGGATATTCTTTCTTGCAGGGTGAAGAAGCCTGTCGCCAGATCAATGCAAATGTTTATCTAGAGTGCTCAGCCAAGTTCCGCGAAAATATTGAACCCATTTTTAGCGAAGCTGCTAGCATGGCTTTGAGCGCCATCAAGAAGGCCAAACGCCAGGAGAAGTCAAGGCCCTGCATCCTCTTATGATGATGTGAAACCAGCCAGAGGAAGCTCTTCTTCCTTCAGTGATATGCAAGGAGGCATTTCTAGGTTTTATTTCAGACTTTAAACAGGACTTTTCATTTGGATTTTAACAGAAGGAACTTGTTTTATATTAATTTCTGCTTTTAGTGAAGCTAAAATGGTCAGAGGTTTCACTCTGAAGGAGCCCTTCCATTCCAGGTCGTCTTTTTTTACTTGTGGAAGGAAGATCACTTTACTAGCTGCCATGTTTAAATAACAATTTAAAAAAACCTGTTATCTCTTACATCATTGCAGTATTACCTATTTGTAGTTTACACGTGGAATTGCTATTCCTCTCCTTCCTTTTCAAGAAACTTCAAGGTGTGAGCTGGAGTTGCATAACATCCTAAACCACATACTAGAGTTTGCCTGACTTTGGTTTAATGCAATGTTTCTCAACCAATGCAACTTGAAGATGCTAGCTAGGGAATTCTGGGTTGAACTCCACACATCTTCAAGTTACCAACGTTGAAAAACACTGATTTAATGCACTGTTTATATGTTACCACTGTAGCTTGCAGACTGTGGCTTATTGTTTAGTGTTGCCATCAACCTAGCCAAGTGTGCTTGTTTAGCCAACCTTAGTTAAAATGAACCATCATTCATTATGATGTATGAATGTAATGGTTGTGACCCTTCCTTACCAGTCTGTAATAACCTAGAAACCCTTCAAGAGATAGAAATCCAGTTCAGAAGTTGAAGTACAGTATGGCTGTGATTTAATTGTTACTCAGGTATAGTGAGCCCCGATTCAGTTGGAAGATTCAGACACCATCTGTACAAGAAACAACTGGAAAGACCTTACAATTTGCCCTGCTTGTGCCTATATAGGATTCCGTAGGTTGTTTTCTTCTATTTCATAAGGAATAGCTACCTCGAAATATGCCTTTATATCTGCTGCTGTGCCTTTAAACTTTTTCTAGTTGAAATTTGGACTCTTTATGCCAATACTCCTTGTTTTGTAATACTCTGAACTTACTTTAAAATATATATTTTTTATTTTAATAGAAAAATAAAAAAATAAAAATAATCATTGAGGGGACAATCAAATATTTGTACTAATGGTGGGGGAGGGAGTGAAGCGTTTCATTAAAATACAATAATAGTAATAAATAAGAGGATAGGACTGTAATGGGCTATCATTTCTAAATCGTAAGGTTACTGAATCAGTTAATTTACGCAGGGGAAAAATCGGTTTATAGCATATATCAAATAATTCAGATTTTAATCAGCAGAATTTGCCCAGGTGCGTAGCACGCATAAAAGCAAAGAGGAGTTTTGTCTTGGATTCCAACATGCATCTGTCATTTCCACAGCTCTCTTTTTATCAGGGAAAGGTAGCCTCATCTGTGTCAGGAAGACTAGGAATACCCAGCAATCCAGGTTCTCCCCAAACTCTTTACATCTAACCTTAAAATGCCTCGCAAGGAATGCGTTCTACAACTAAAAAGTTATGTCACAGAATCACCGAGAGGGGAAAGAAAGCTGCCGGAGCTGTTCTTTATTTGCCATCTTCTCCCGCTTGAGGCGCAAAGAAAGTTGAAGGAAATCTGAATATGGGAAACATTCATGCAATCTTTGGGTCAACAAAGCCAGAAACAAACTGAGATTATTCATTGGTCTGCAAGAAGCTTTTGTAATTCCTCATCTCCCATCCTTGCTGAAGAAGTTTGCTGAAATAAATGTCAAAGAAGGACTGGAGGCTCCCGCATATATCATATAAGCAGTCTGGGCATTCGGAGCCACAAGTCACACATTCCCCCCCTCAACTGATTGCAAACAGACAGATGTTGGGCACCTATTCAAGCAACTAGACAAGGTTCTAAGAGACTGAGTAGCTATCTGACTGGATAGCTTCAAGCAAGCACAAACATCTCCCCAACCCTGGCACTTCGAACAGCAATACAATTAAAGCTTGCTTTATTCCAGAATAATTCTCTATCTCCTTTAAAAAAAACCCAACAACTCCCATCCATGTCCTTCCCAGAGAGGGCCAACTTTATGGCTGGATCCTCCCCAAAAGTTGGGGGTTTGCATTCACTATAAATATATAAACAGGTCATTCATCAGTGAGGAGACAGCAGCATTGACACATCAGTCAGTTTTTGGAAGACAGCTGGACGTTGAGTGGAATTTCCTCCACGGCTTTGCTTAGCAGAGGGACGGTGAGGAAGCTGGAGAACTGGTTGGAACGCACACCTATCTGCAGAGAAGGCCAAAAGGAACCAGACCTCCATCCCACATTAACTTTGTACTACCCCCAAGTTCAGCCTTCCTGTTTCACAACTTCTTGGTTTTGTTCTTCTGGAATTTTGTATGCACAACTTTCAGAGTGGTGAGGAAGTTGCCGAGGAAGAGGATCAGAAATGTGAGAGCAAGTACCGAAACCTGGAGAAGACAGGAAGGAAAACAATAGGGATGTACCCACACAGAGAGACCCACTTTGGGTGTAGATGTATCAACTAATGGGGAAAAACTTTACACTGGAAAAGTATGAGGAGCAATGGCAGGCGACAGATGTAATGCCTGGATTGACTAAGTGTGTCAGAGCAGACTTGATGTGTCAGAATTGAGAATCATTAACTCCTAGCAACAGATCCGCAGGCGTCGGATTGGGAAAGAATTTGAGTTATCACGTAAACTAATAACTAACAGGAGTTTCTCATTGTTTATTCATCAGTGGATCAAAGAAGATTTCTCTTTGTTCTCTCTCCAGTAATTTCTATCCGATTACGGTATATTAGTTTCATAAGGAAAGGAAGCATCTTGGATGTTAGTTATCTCAAAAAGCCACCAAGCCACAGGGCACCTGGTTGCTTCTAAGTATATAGGGCATGGCTTTTGGCTCAGCCATGCCACTCAAAAACGTTGGACATTGGATGAGAAGAAGGGAAGAGCAGCATAATGTCCAAGATCTGCCAGATCTGTCTTCAATTTGGATGAAAAAGGATCTCAGGATGTTCAGAAACCTTCATTTTATTAGGCCTTTTCAACTGTTGCAACTCAAGATATTCACAAATACTAAAGCATGAATGATGTTCTCATACTTCTCAACTGTCCTCTCTTTCTAGGTTTCTCAACAGCTTGCAGTTAGCCCATGAAGCCCCTATCCGCTAGGGTAAAAATTATTTTGAACCCAAACACTTACTTGCCATTCTTTACATTTCTTGTGCCTTGACAGTTCAAAAAGTGTGATCGCGTTGTAGAGTTGCCAAAACTTAAGCAGAGGGAAGGAGAGGAAAACAGGAAGATTTAGGAACAATGAAGATTTAGAATTGAGGAATTTGTTGCTGTAAACGCCCAGAGTCACTTCCTAGGGGCGGTGGCCAAATTTGAAATATAGATAGATAAATAAATAAACAAACAAACAAACAGCCTTCGGCTTGCAGAGATCTAAGCAATAACTGCAGCCGAGAGAAGCTGAGAAGAACTTTAGGAACAATATTCATCACGAGATGACTAATTTGAAAGCCAGCGAAGGACCACATATGGATTAGCAGCCTGGAAGAATTCATACAAAGGACTATCGTTCTACCACGAAGCATAGCCTTGGCGTGGAAAAAGTCCAGTTCTTGGGCAACAGATCATGTGAATGGTGCAATCAAAGCTCCATACCCTGCAGATGCCCCGGCCTGCCCCTCAAACTAGAAATATGGGGCTAACTGAAGCCATAATCTGGCCTCACAAAAACTATAGCTAAGTGGAATACACAGATATCCCATCTCTTTGACTTTTGTATATACCTAACGAATTTATCGGCAAACAACATGGTGTCCAACTTACATGTCCAAAGAACAGAAATGGGAGGAGAAACGCCAGTCCTCGCCACATCCAAGACTGAAACCCCTCTATCAAGAGATCAAAATAATCAGAGTCAAACCAGGCAGCGGGCAGAGCATCTTTTGTCTGATTCCATTACAGGCGAAACAAGTTTCTTATGGGCCCGGGAGATGCAGTCAACCGAAGAGCAAACAAAACAGTAATTAATTTATTTCAAAAAAGATTGAAACAGACATTGCTGGGAGGATCTGGGTTTGAATGTCCTTCTTGAAACCTTTTTTATGCAAAATTAAATTGCTACCAAGACAGAAAGAACAGACGGGATCAGTCCTGATGCAGAGTGATTGCACATACCTGCTGTTAGTTCCATGAATAGGTGAGCACTGATCCAAATACTGGAGAATGTAAGTAAATGCCTTGAAGCAAATAGAAGTGCCTAAATCAGGCACATTGCTTACCCACTGTGAGATCTAAGTGGTTTCTTTTCCCTAACGCACGAAGTCGATAAAGGCACCCACTTTGATAATAATATTGAAGGAACTGGACGCAGCCTGGAAAGAAAAAAGGAAGGAGGCCTCACTGTTTAAAAACAGGATTGGGGTTGTAAATTATTAGCCTTCCTGATTTACACCTGGACACACTCAACCACATGGTGAATGAATGAAGGTTCCCAATTAAATACGCTCTTTCTCTGACCCAAATTTGCCACGCCACACGCACACGGCTTCCCCTGTCTGTGAAAATTCCATGTTTGAATGGGGATCCAATATGTATATTTACTTACTCTGAAAAATGGAAAAAGCTAGAAACTGGTTGCGGAACATTTGGTACACTAGACCATCTGGCCTGTGAGAGCAGGAAGGAACAGAAAGAAAAACACAGGAATGATTTAACAGGCATTGCACAGAGGTGACTGTCATATCCTATTGCAACAGAGGCCATTCAGTTGCAGAGAGGATATTTAAAAAGAGAAAACAAAATCTGGAACTAAAAACGGAAGAAAAGGTATTTGGGTTCAGGAAATGCAGCCTAGACTAGTGTTTCTCAACTATGGCAACTTTAAGATGGGTGGACTTCAATTCCCAGAATTCCCCAGCCAGCATGGCTGGCTGGGGAATTCTGGGAATTGAAGTCCACCCATCTTAAAGTTGCCATGGTTGAGAAACCCTAGCTTAGACCAACCAAAACTGAACCATCACAGATGAGGGGAATATGACATTCAATGGATCCCACAAGTGAGAGAAACCTACACGGAAAACTGGTGTAGCAAGGGAGTAATTCAACTGACTCAATTGCCCTTTCACATGCAAGGAATCTCTAAGGCTGGCCTGACATTCAAAGGATAAAAAGGGGAAAAGTCTGCTTACCATGTGAGCATCACACCAGATAAGAACGTAGAGATGTAATGATGGGACACCCACCAGCCTTTAATCCTGGAACGAAAGAGGACACCGTTTAAGCTGTTTCAGCAGAGATGCGTCACCTGAGCCCCCAGCACAGCCCGATGCCTCCCTCACTCTTCCGTGTGGTCCCCCGAATCTCTTCCAAGTTCCATTATAGTTTTAAATCTGGCAAAAGAGCGGCACTATTAATTCCATGGGGAATAATCATGTTCCCAGATTTAATTTACATTTTAAATCTATATTCATGTAGTCCTGGTTTGTTAGATCTGGCCCTTGCTATTGTGACTCAGAACAAGGCTGTATGCTTTTGACTTACAGACCTCTAGTTCCTAAGTCTCTAATCCTCCCTAGGAATTCTGGAAGCAAAACTCTTTGTAGAGGGCCCTGAATTTGGGAAAGGCTGTTGTAGAACCCATTCTCCAAATGCACATTTGTCCCGTAATCTGATGCACCTCCTAATTAAACTTAGGATGAGCAACTGCCCAGCAGGGAACAGGAGAGGATATTACCTCGTTACCATGTTAGTCTGAAGTTCCATCTCCTAAAGCACTCAAAGACCATCTTGAGGACTAGTACCTTGATCCATTGCTGATGAGGATACTTTCTCTTATTGTCAGCGTGCAGTAATACCAAACCAAAAGGAAGTTGAACACTTCATCAGTGACCCTGCAGGAAACATTGGGGATTATTTCTACCCCCGCTCCCCAAAAACAGAAGGAAAATACACAGAGCAGTGTTTATATATGTATATATGTATGGCTGGGGTATTCTGGGAGTTGAAGTCCACACATCTTCAAGCTGCCAAGGTTGAGAAACACTGTCCTAGAACCTCATTCCTCTTCTTCCAGATCATCTCCCCTGGAAACTGGACTCCCTTTCTCCCAGCAAAGCTACAAACAGCTGCATTATGGTCCTTAGCCTTAAGAGCCAGAACTGAGTTCCAGATCTCATGCAATCTCAGCTCACCCTTGAGAACGTGGCCCTGGAAGCTTCTGCAACCTGCTGGGGATCAGGGCCAAAGGTGGAAACATTTCTCAGAGGGCACAGAGCCGGGCAATCGGACACATCACTCCCTTGCTACAGACACTTGGCAAACTGTGCTTTGAACGCTCAGTGGTGAGATGAGAATCTCTGGGCCCAACCACGTGCAGTTCTCCAGACGTGGTTTGAAATCCACGGCTGCAGTTAAAAAAAATGGAAAAGGACAACCATTTGCCAGCTAACCAAGCTGCCATCTTACCGATAATGGAGAACGAATCGACAGGCAACTGCTCCAAGCAACAGGATGATGGTCAAGTATAGTTTGAATTTTTCATATTCATCTTTGTAGGCAAACCTAGAACAAGAGGAGGAAGCTTGAAAAGATACAGGCCGTTGTAAAGCCAGATTGAGTTGGCATTCTGTGCCCTGTACTTGCATATTGCCCAATCCTTGGCCAGAACACACTGCAGCCTTCTCCTGACAGATCATAATTCCTGGTTTACTCAAACCAGGATTGATACCTGTAGGCCAGTGCAGCCCATCTGGACAGACAAGATGTAACCAACTCAAGAGTTCAGGAAGAGGCGCTTAGTTAGCCAGCCTCCCCATAGGCATTGGCCCGTAGCACCCATCATCCTAGCTCATTCTGGTTGGGGAGACTAGGCGTTGTAGTCTCTTATCCAAAGGGGCCAAGTCAGAGAAGGTTCCCCTCCCTTTGCTCGCAAGCCCTCCCTCACCCACCAATCTTCTCCTTCTCCATTTTCCTCTTCTCTACATAGAAATAACCTAGAATAGTTGAGAATTAACTTACTTGGCCTGGTTACTTAGCAGAGTGACATTAACGTTCCCCAACACCAGATTTAAGTACAGACTGAAAGGGGAAAAAACCAGAACAAAACAGTCACAACAGCAGAAACCCATCAGACTTGTCCATAGGACAGTTTTCATGTTATTCTTCCCAGGTTACCCATCCATTGCTAAAAATATTTGTCAGTCCAAACAGCTGGTTCTCTCTTGCTTTGCGGTGCGGTAAGCAGCCCCCGTGTTCTCCTTCAACCTGAAACCCTTCAGACACCCTGGATCACTATTCCCACCAACCCCAGCCAGCAGGCTATCGCAGACCAAAGTCGGTGGGAACTGTAGTCCAACACATCCAGAGGGAACCCAGCTGGTATTTATTACGCCCTTTGATCCACCCAATAACCAAGCTTGCTTTTATCTATCTATCTATCTATCTATCTATCTATCTATCTATCTATCTATCTATCTATCTATCTATCTATCCATCCATCCATCCATCCATCCATCCATCCATCCATCCA